TTCTGTGTATATATATATAAGCAATAGAACACGAGAGGGAGTGTGTTATTGTGAAATAACATCACAGCCGTGATGTTATACGCGATAACACACAACCTCCAGTGTTCTATTGCTTTAATACAACAGTTAAATAAATAAAGCAAGAAATTAATAAATTGGGCTGTGAACGCGGCGTTTAATATGTTTTAATGTTAGCAATTCCTTCCTCCAAATTATAGTTCCTTAACAAGCAGCTCGCTGCTACGTCAGAGTAACGAACTCGGCTCACTCGGCAGTTCGTTCTCCAGCTCTTTACACTCAGTTCCGAAACTGTCATCACCACTGAGCAGCTTTTTTGTTTTTTTATTGAGGCAGTTTTATGGTTCAGTCCGATTTGGTCAGAAATTTATACCCCACCAATTAGCACTGAGCAAACTGCAAGCATCATCACTATATTACACTATATTGTTATGCTACACTTATATATAGCTGAATCTCAAATGGCTCACTACTCCCTATAGGGTGCACTGCATTGTTCACAATCAAATAATGTCTTTCAGCATATGGCTGAATTCCAAATGTACCTTTTGGACATTAAATGCCCTGCTTGGATTTTAAAGCTTTTAAACCATTTCATGACCTATGAAGTGCTCTATATGTGGAGAGAAGGGCTGGATACTGATTGAATTTCATATGATATTTTCCAAATATATCACAATCTATATACTAATACTAAAAAGTATGTTTATTTTTCTTAAAACGATACCAAAGAAAGTCGTATACAGTAATGTTTTCACCATATTATTTCCAAGGAAATGTACTATTTATTAATTTATATAGTTTTTATTTTGTTCATTCCAAAAAATCTGAAGCACCCAGCAACTAATATACATTGCCGTTTACTGTCAGGGTCTAGATACCCTTAAAAAAAGAACAAAACAGAGTGTAAAAATAAAAATAAAAATAAACCACTTGGCAACAGGGATACTATTACTTTTCCTGGGTATAATGCTCATTATCTATTGACTTTATGGCTACAAATATCCCTAAAACTAAAAAGCAAGACCACGGTATACCAGAATAGTCGATATATCATCCAGCCCTAATATGTTGCCAATTGAGACTCACCCTGTGTTACTCTGAACAGCGTTAAAGGTACTGATAGTTCTGGAAGTATAAATGTTGACAGGATCCCAGGATGTCCAGTTTTGCTTTGAGGTTTGTCTACTACAGCAGATGTACACATAAACTGAAAAATCAGTCTATTTCACGAACATTAAGAAGCAGCTCTCCCCCTCATGACACGCAAATCAACCATTTGCTGACGTCAGAAATGAGCAATCTGAGCGAGCAGCCCACCTGAGACCTCTTCAGCCACCTATTAATTCTCACTTCGACTGCACAGTGCGGCTCTGTCTGCTGGTTCTCCTCCCATTTGGAACTAAATCACCTCTCGATGGGGCAGCACACTGGAGCCCTACAGAGAGATAGATGCTGAGTCTACCTGACCTGAATAGGTTCTCCGTCTGGCTGACTTTGCAGCAGTGTGTAGGTGGGACGTTAGCATGAGGAGGGAGATTTATAGTCTCCAGTCCAGGCTGCAGTTTCTTCAGCAGTGGTCATAACCATAAAAGAATGGGAAAGTACCGGACAAAGAGAAAAAGAAAGAGACTACCGGAGGGACATCTAAAGACGTAGGTTGGACAGTGGAGAAAGATTTCTGGGGAATTCTCAGGAAAGAAAATAGGCCAACAGAGGCAGAGCTCCAAAAGATGATTCACAATTTTGTTACAGTGTTGGATTTTTAAAAATGGTGAAGCACGGTTTGCCTATTGACTCCACAATTGGGTGCCATTTAGTCCTGGTAACTATTGAAAATTAAAATGTATTTGTACTTTTCATCATTGAATCTAAGGAAACATGCATTAAGCTTTTAAAAAATGTGTTAAGCCATCTTATTTTCATAAGGTTTCTTTGCTGTCAGTGGTAAATGAGTAGCAGGGTTGAGTACAATTAAAAATACTCAAAAAATATTAACCAGCATCCACACTAATGTCTTCAGGGCATTCTAACAATTTGCTTGAAGCTGCACTATGTGAGTTTTGAAGACCCCTCTGGTGAAAACATGTAACACAACATATAGTAGAACATTTTGTAGTCAGTTGTGTTTCGGACTAGGGCCGGGCAATACGACAACATTTATCATTACTGTAAAAAATAACATCACAATGTCACAATATGCTTTTCTGGGCATATTGTGGATATGGTCAGTACTTAAAAAACACACCAGCTGCATTTTTGATTACAGAGAGAACCTAATTATTCCTGTTTAATTGGATTTGGTGCTGCTCAGTATGATAAATGCTGAATAAAATTCATTAAATTTATAGTTTTTGATATGTTTTTAAATGTCGGACTGCTTTGTCTGTTCTAACTTTTCAAATGCCAGAAAAAGAAATACTGTGACATATCATGAAAAGTTTTTAAATTATCATGATTACATTTTTGCCACATCAAAGAAAGAAACTGACGTGTCTTCCGATGATGTAAGTGAATTATCTACTACTGTTATCATGTTTTCATCAGTATAAAGCTGGATTTGCATTTGAGATCTAAACATTGAGCTGGACCGTCTTTTGAGCCTGTGCGTGTGACGGTAGCATGTAAAGACGTAACATGTGGTCTGAAAATCCCGACGCCTCTGATATTTAAATTACTATTTACAGGCTTTACAGGGCAACTCGCATGGACACCATACTTCGTAATGATACACTGAATTTTAACAAAAATATCTTACAAAATGCTTAAGGGTTTTTAATAATAATATAAATAATTTACTATCTACTACATATATGTAACAGGGATGTACATTTAAAGTGACCTCAGTCAATCACAATATCATTAAAAATAAAGAATGTGAAAATTTTTTCTTCTTTCCATAATAATCAGGAAACTGGGATGCTGTTTAACTTGTGTAATACTTCCACATATTTCAGATATTTAATGGGGTGATTGTGTTCAAGCGACAGGGTCGAGTGTATGTTGTGGAACACGACTCAAATGTACTTTTTTCCATAATCTATAATGGATGCACAACAACTGTCCCACTGCACTGTAACTACACTTTACCTTGAAACTCAATCATAAGATGCTTGAAATAATGACAGTCACGTTATTTCTGCACTAATATGGAATCAGTGTAACATCTCATGCTTTAAACATCTCTTTTCATGAGTCATCCTTCATAAATTATGAAAAAAGAACATTTTAGTCGTGTTCCACAACATACTCAACCCTGCTGCCTGAACACAATCACCTCTATGAAATATCTAGAAAGCATCCCAATTTCCTGAATATCATGAAAAGAAGAAAAATGCATTTTCACATTCTTTATTTTTAATGATATTGTGATTGACTGAGGTCACTTTGAAAGTACATCCCTGCTACCCAAAGTATATTATACTATAGTATATATACTTATACTATAGTATATAGCATATATATATATATATATGTAGTAGAATTTATTGATATTTATCTGAAACATGCACATAGGTTATGGTGAATGACACTTTGTTATCTACCTTTCCTTCACATATATATTCATACATGTAATATCACTGGCATTCCAATCATGGAAGCCTGTAATGACAATGCTGTACAAATACCACAACACAAGATTCAAGGATCAGCTTCTCCTACTAGTGGGCAACAAAACGATGACTCATATGGTTGAAGGAAAGGTACGCAGCAAAAAACCCTACAAAGGCTCTGTGGTGCCCCTTCATATTCTTACAGTTTGCAATTCACAGCCTGTCAGACTGTTATGTCTGAGTCTTGACCAGAGCAGCCAAAACACAGCACGACTTTTGGCCACTCAATCTGGAAACCGATGGCCTCTTGCACAGGCCACTGGCAACACAACCTGACCACATTGGAGCAATCTGGTCTCCATTCATCCACAGCTCTCATATGTCTGAATGAATCTCTCCATTTTCAGTTAATAAACTGAATTAGTAATGTGGGGTGTGAGCTCTGTGTACATGAATTTGGTCCTTGTGCACCATTTCTTCATATGATATTACACCTGCCTGATAAACATAATTGATATTATATATAAAGAGATGACAAATATGATTATTTTTGCATTATCAGGCAACATGGCTGGTCCTAGTAAGAAGCATGAGTGGTTTGCAGTTCGCCAAGAGTTCTACACACTTAAAAAGATGGTTCTTCAAAAAGGCAGTGGTTCTATTTGGAACCATGAGTTATATACAGAACCATTTCATTAAAATTTAAATGGTTCTCTGCATGGTGAAATAGTTCAGATTGATGGAGGATGTGTTATATATGGTTCTATAGAGCACTAAAAAGGCTTTTATTGTTACAATGTCCAGCTTGTGACAATAGGAGAACCCTTTTTGGTGCTATGTAGAACCTTTTTTAAACATGGTTTCATATACAACACGTTCTGTCTCAATTTGAAGAACCCATTCATCATGAAAAGAGCCATTTGAGCATGAAATGACTCTCTTTAGATCTCACAGTTCTAAATAGAAGCATTCCCTGCTCTTAAGAACCCTTAAGAACCACCTTTAAGTGCGTAGAACAATTGACATGAGATTAAATGTAAGATTTAATGTACTAGTTTGAATTAAATGTTAGTGCCTGTTCACTTCAGCAGAACCAAAAAGGGAAAAAATGATAAAATAATAAAATAAAATGTTCACGGTTTTAGTATATTGAGGTAAACTAGAGGTCTGAGAATGTGCTGAGCTAACAGGCTACAAAGATGTGTTAAAACAAAGAAAACATACGAGGCTTCTTTTTCGAATTTTCCGTTCCACCTTAAATGGTGCAGCAGCTACATTCTGGCGCCGGGCGCCAGAATGTAGCTGCTGCACCATTTAAGGTGGAACGGAAAATTCGAAAAAGAAGCCAAGTTCAGCTTTGTGGAAATCACTGCGTGAGGTAAAAATAAGTCATTAAGAGCTTTTATTTTTTAAAAATAGTGTACTTACCTACTATGAGGCAGGAAAAAGAGGAACGAGGCATAGCTGCAGCTCCAACGCCCAGTGCTGGTCAGATAAACGGCTATATTTCAGAAACGAACCCGAAGGCTGTGCTGTCTGGACTCAGCTACTGCACTGAACGCACAGCAGTGCAGCCGGATTAATGGATGCACGCGGATGATGCAGGGCTGATCTGCATCTCACAGCTGGTCAGCGTGGTTCTCTGACTTAGTGACCCCGATCTGCAATGTGCCACTGCATGACGATGCAGACGGAGCCGGAGATGCGCTCAGGATTCTTGCTGATGAGAAGTCATCCAGGCTGCTGAGCGAGGAGGAGATGATCATGTGGTGTAAACGCTACACCAGCCTGTGAAAGAAATGCGTAGCGGACCGCTGTTGTCTTTCTACTCAATGAACAGCCCGCCCTTGCTGCGAGGCTGTGGCCGGTGCTGGTCAGCCCGCAGTGTCTGCAGGAGCCACCCTGGGTCCTAAAGGCAGTCAGGCTTTTACCCAAGTCCCTGTGGACCACGAGAATGGTCTGTCTGCGGGCACAAGGCTACAAGACACGCCTATTACAAGAAAGGGTCTACTACAAGGCACGCCCACTACAAGATATGTCTACTACAAGTCACGCCCACTATATGTCTACTACAAGACATGCCCACTGAGATATACCTGCAAGTCACGCCCACTATGTCTACTACAAGACATGCCCACTATAAGATATACCTGCAAGTCACGCCCACTATGTCTACTAGAAGATATGCCCACCATGAGATATGCCAGCAAGTCATGCCTACCATGAGATATGCCCGCAAGTCACGCCCACTATGTCTACTACAAGACATGCCCACTATAAGATATGCCTGCAAGTCACGCCCACTATGTCTACTAGAAGATATGCCCACCATGAGATATGCCTGCAAGTCACGCCCACTATGTCTACTACAAGACATGCCCACCATGAGATATAAATGCAAGTCACGCCCACTATGTCTACTACAAGACATGCCCACTATAAGATATGCCTGCAAGTCACGCCCACTATGTCTACTACAAGACATGCCCACCATGAGATATAAATGCAAGTCACGCCCACTATGTCTACTACAAGACATGCCCACTAAGATATACCTGCAAGTCACGTCCACTATAAGATGTCTACTAAAAGACATGCCCACAATCAGACACATAAGCTGTGTCCGAATTCAGGGGCTGCATTCTACACGTCTTCATAGACCTGTGAAGGCTGGGCCGAAGTGAGACGGTCTGCTCTACGACTGTTTTGCGTCACAGCATCGCTGTTCCCACCCTTACCGTGTCACAAAATGTCGCTCATCAAGTTCTTTTAAAGTACTTTAAAGATGGAGCCAGAAACTTTATTTTTTCATTTATTAGAGCTGTGCTCCTTGCTCCCTTAAACAAAACAAAATGTTAGTGTACGTTTTGCTACAGACCACATTGGCTTTTTTTTTAACATCTGTATCGTTAGCTATTCAACTCAGCTTAAACCCAATACTTACATTTAAAGTGTCTCCTCAGCAGCCGTTCGCTCCTCTGCTGATGCTGCAATGTTCTTGAATCCCCGCCAGCATGCAACGATCCTCGGGATATGCTGGCTGGATTTGTGGGTGGATCCTTCGTTGCCATGGAAAAATACATTTTTCGGCCGCATATGAAGGAGACTTCGAAATGAGACAGCCTAGTCGCACCGCTGTGACGCAATCGGCCTTCAAATGCAGCCTCTGAAGGATGCAGTCCTTGAATTGGGACACAGATATAGATGAGCCAAAACATTATGACCACCTGCCTAGTGTGCTGTTGGTGTTCTCTGTGCCATCAAAACAGCACCAACCACCAAGGCACTGACCCTGCACGGCCTCTCAAGGGGCCCTATGGTATCTGGCAACAAGACGTTAGCAGTAGATCCGTTAAGGATGGGACAGATGCTTGACGGGATTGAAATCTGGGGAATTTGGAGGCCAACACCTTGAACTCTTCGTCATGCTTCTCAAACCATTTCTGAACAACGTGTGCAGTGTGGTAGGACGTTATCCTGCAGAAAGTGGACACTAACATCAGGGGAATACCATCACCATTCTTAAACGTTGTTTAAGTAAGTATAACATGTTAAATTGACATCAACATGAAGGCTGAGACCCAAGGTTTCCCACCAGAACACTGCCCAGAGCATCACACTCCCTCCACCAGCTTGGCTTCTTCCCACAGTACATCCTGGTGCCATCACTTCCCCAGGTAAGAGCCGCACGTGTAACCGGATGTCCATGTGATGTAAAAGAAACAGGACACATCTGAACAGGTGACGTTCTTTCATTGCTCCAAGGTCCAGTTCCGATGCTCCTAGGCTCACTGTAGGCACTTTAGATGGGGGACAGGGGGTGAGCATGGGCACTGACCGGTCTATGGCTACACAGCAGGGTGCAAGGCAGTGTCCAGACACATTCCTCCCATAACCATTATTAAACATTTCTGTGACTTGTACTACAGCAGCCTTTCTGTCAGATTGGACCAGAGGGGTTGGCCTTCATTGCCTTTGTGCATCCCTGGGTATCCAACACCCTGTCGCCGGTTTGTGGTTTGTCCCCCCAGACCACTGTGGGTAGGTACTCAACTCTGCTCACCAGGAGCGCCTGACAAGCCTTGCCGTTTGAGATGCCCTGACCCAGTCGTCCGGCCATACTGATTTGGCCCATATCAGTGTTGCTCCGGTCTTCATACCTGCCCATTTTGTCTCGCATCAAATACATTTACTTCAAGAACCGACAGTTCGCTTACTGTCCAATCTATCCCGGACCTTGACATGCACTGTTAAATGTTATTCGTTTCATCTGCAAGGTCTTGTTTTGGCTCATCTGTGCACATCGTGAAATATATACAAAATCTGGTACTAAGCAGGGTATTTTGCTCAAAGACTCACTAAGTCTTAACTGGAGAGGTAATGTTTATTTTAGTTTATATAAATAAAAGAGGCAGCACGGTGGCGCAGTGGGTAGCGCTGTTGCCTCACAGCAAGAATGGCCTGGGTTCAATTCCCGGCCGGGCAACCAGGGTCATTTCTGTGTGGAGTTTGCATGTTCTCCCCGTGTCTGCGTGGGTTTCCTCCCACAGTCCAAAGACATGCACTCAGGCTGATTGGACACGCTAAATTGCCCCTAGGTGTGTGTGTGTGTGTGTGAATATGTATGTCTGTCTGTCTGTCTGCCCTGTGATGGACTGGCGATCTGTCCAGGGTGTATCCTGCCTTCCGCCCAATGACAGCTGGGATAGGCTCCAGCACCCCACCGCAACCCAGAAGGATAAGCGGTTTAGATGATGTATGTATGTACATATTTTTATATATATATATATAAATAAAATCCTTCACATACACAACACAGCTACACACTTACTTGGAGTCTTTGGGAGAACATTTCACGCTAACTTACATTACACAAATGGGCTAACGACATGCTTCATTGGAGAACAGCTCAGTCCCAAATGGCACCTTAAGCCTGGCGGTCCTCCTCAAAGTCCAAACATCGTTGATGTCAGTAACGTGTAGACCTATAGCACAAGAGAGTGCCAGGGTGCTGCAACTGTCAACTGCAGGACTGCAAGCGCAAACATTCTGGACTTGAACTTAATGATAATTAAACCAATTATGCAAAACATCTTGGTATAGAATCTGGTTAATGTTGACAAGCGCATCACCACCCCCCACCTTGACCTCCGTCTTTAAAAGGCTTTGGATTGTTTTAGATTTTACAATGAGTTCATTCACATCACGTTCTGCTCCAAGTCCCTCATGGTCATCCCCAGACATCCTCATTACGAGATCACACCTGGCCTGTGGTAATTACCAAGTTACATTAGGCTCCTGTCACTTAAAGAGCACCGCAGCATTAGGCTTACTCAGCCCACTTTTCTCACCGTGCATGTACACAGACAGCTGCAATAAACATAAGCGCAAGCTAGCACAGCAGTTTATAAGCTGGAAAACGGCTCTCTTCTGTAAGGGATGACTGCACTTTACAGGAACAGAACAAAAGATCATTCCACAGTCCTTCTACAAGCAGTAAATCACTGTCAGAATGAAAATGCCATCTGCTTACTAAGAATTATAGTTTATTTATTTATTTTATAGCACGGTACAAATCTTTTCACAAGTAACTACACATGCAGAGCGTTTCTGCATCCAACAACAGGAAAAGTACAAAAGGAAATTCATACCACCTTTCTTACAACAAGCAACACCAAGTGACCAAGTGTGGTAATGTTATTCTCAATAATCAATTCTGTCCATATCAGAACACATCCATTTCCCAGGGGGCACAGGAAAATATGTACACATCCAGAATATTCTCAAAAAGGTATCTGAACGCAGTCCAACTCAACGCAGCACACGGCCTAGAACTGCTGCATAATGAGCTTCTTCTTCATGTCGTGGGAGAACTTGTTTGAGCGGAACACTTCGCTGTCGTAAAATGCAGACAAGTTGTGGATGTTGATCTGTCGGGCCTGTAGAGAAAAGAGAGAGATGAAGTTACTAAGTTATACTTAATTACACTAACTAAACACCACTGCAACTTACAGTTAATAGAACAAGACGCTTAAAGCAACTACTGCTTATTTAAATGAGCATGACTAAGGCTGGACAGTCACACTGGTGACAAATAATCCAACGCAGCTTTTCATTTTATGGATTGCACTCTGGACATAACAAAATAGCACAGATTAGAGGAATTAGTGGGTGGGTTTTAGAGGCAAAAGTTGTCACAAGACATGTCACATCTGGCCCTCGCCAGAACCATAAAGACCAGGATATGTATTTGCTTGTGAGAGGAAAAAAGTGCAGGTTGACTGGCACGTGCAGCAGCGCTTAGCAAGAGAGCTAACCTAGCAGTTAGCAAGCTGGATACCTTATCCATGAAATAGTGAAAACATAAAAGGGAAGTTATATCATCTCAGACACCCTCCAAATTGATTGCGTATCATATGGCCTCTCAAGCCTATTTATGGCCAGTTGGGAAGAAACATGCTTTTGCAACTGTTTTGCTTATTTTTATTTTATTATTAGAGCCAATTAGCACAGATTCAGCCAGACTGAGAATCGGGGCTAAATCAACACCAAACCCCAACGGCTACTGTATTTAATCCTAAAACAAAACTGATTGCGCTCTCAGCAATAAAACATGGTTGTGAGCGACAATATCCAGAATATGCTCTATATTGTGATGTTAGCTGTGAATTCATCACAACAACGATAAATACAATCATACTGCCCACGTCTATTAGAAATATAGATCATTTTAACCTGAAAATGTTTCACTGACAAAAACCTAGAGTCTGGGCCAACACTTTACCTTATCCACCAAGTCCTTCTCTGGAATCTCGATAACATCCTGCTGAGCTCCATATCTGTTGCGCTGATACGCCACCTGCTCAGCTACCAGCTGCTTCAGG